CAAGCTGCACAGAGTGTAGAAGAGGACATGCTATGTAGAGGGTTATTTTAGGACTATATGATTGTTTTAATGTTACAAAAATCGAACAAAGCAATTCACTAAATTAACAGATTTGAGAAGAAAAGCCATGAGTCTGATGGCCCAACACTCATTCATGATCCAGATTCTTTGCCCACTAGGTGTAGAAGAGAACCTAACCTGATAACAAGACTCTGCCAAAACCCCACAGCAAATGCAGCTCTCAGTCTATCCTCCAGCACGTAAGGATGCTCACTGCAGCCCTGCTCCCACCAGGGCATGTCCTGGTTCCCAGCCAGTGCAATCAGCACTTGGGCAGCGTCCCAGGCAGCGACCTGTCCAGCCACCTCCACACCCACCCCGTTTCTCACCGTCAAGGACCCCCTCCCTGCCCAACCTCCTGCCCTTCCAGCAGCTTCTGTCCAGTGCCTGACTCCACCAATTCACGGACTTATGATGCCCCAGGCACCAGCCCCGATCACTTCTCACGGCCCCTCCTTCTCCACCATCCACTGCGACCAGCATCGTCTTCGCGTGTCCTGTACTCTCTGCCCTGCTTCAACTGCTCTCACTTGGCAGAATCCCGGCTCAGGGGCTTCCGTGTGCTTCCCACCATGTGCTTCCTACCTGTGCTTACACACAGCTTGTGTGCAGCACAAGCTCGTGGTTGGAGAACAGCACACAGCCATTGACTCGCATCAATAACCTAGGTGGGTTCTTGGTGTGTGGCCCCTCACCTCCACACTGCCTCCCCATTTGGCTGTAGATTCCTGGGCTCCATGCATAGGCCACCGAGACGGGAACGTGCTGGAGCAGGGCCTCGGGGCGGACGCCACTGTGCACGCGTGAGAAGGCAAATCCCACTTGTGCCTGTGCGTGCGGATGCGCGTGTGCCTGAGCCCTCCCGACTCACACGCACCAGAGCAGGGCGGCTGGGAACGGGCACGAGAAGCTGACCATCACCGCCCCTCATCCTTTTCTCTCCTGTGAACTTTGCCCCCATGCCAGTGGTAGGGAGGGGACCCCAGGCTTGGAGCAATGGACTCGCTGGAATCCACTCAGGGCCCTGCTTCAGGGTCACCTCCTTGGGATTCCATCTTTATGTGAATTTGTTAGCAGTGGGGATGTTTCCCAGGGAGAAAAGGGCTGCTTCAAATCTGCTCTCTGCTGATGAACACCGAGAGCCCAAGCAAGCGGAAAAGGAATTTCAGTCAAGAGCTCTAAACTGTGGTCCCCACACAGCTGGAAGTCAGGAGCAGCGCGGAGAACGCCCTCCACGCCAGCGTCGCCACCTGGGAGGGGCCAAGATGCCCAGTACTGCCCATGGGGACAGGAGTGCCTGGCCTCACCTGCCACCCTCACAGGCCCTCCCAGAGACTCGGCGGCACGGAGGCAAAAGCACATGGCCCGGCTCCCCCCGGCAGGAAATGAGAAGTGGCAACAGAAGCTTCAGTCATATGGCGGGTTGTGTGTGCCCACAATTCACTGGCCTCAGGGCCCTGTGGTCTCCCTCCTACCTGCCCCAGGCATCCTGCACCTGACACTTGAGAGGGAAGCCCCTGGCAGGGCCAGGGAGAGGGAAGGCAGCGGTCAGGCAGTGGGGACGGGGGACGCCTGGCCGACCAGCTGTGGGTACAGTGTGGGGAGAGTGTGGTTGGTCTGATCCCCAGCCCAGGCTGGCTGGGGCAGGGGGGCCTCGTTATTACTTAAAGGCCTAAAAATACTGCTGGCCGTAAATCAGCCCCTGCTTCAAGGCCACGGGCCCTGCCCAAAGCGTGGGAGGAAGAAGAAGGTCTGCACACCACCTGTGTCTGATGACAGCCAAGGCCCAGACCCCCAGTGGCTGGAGGGAAAGCGGAAGGTGGGGAGTGGCCTGGCGCCACCATGTGCCCCTGAGGCTGCAGCTTCCTGATGAAGGCAGCTGAAGGCTCCCGGTCACTGCTGTGGCCCTTGGCTGAGCCCATCCTAGCCCAGGAGCCTCCTGGAAGGATCTTGGCCACCAGGAGCTCCTAGCGCATGACCTCAGGTGCTAGGAATGTGCAGTCAGTGCTGCTGCCATCTGGCTCCCATTACCCATGCTCTGCTGCGGGAAACCTCATCTGCGTCTCGGCTCCCAGCGCCCGTCTGGGAGATGTTGATTTGGGCTCATTAGAGACTTCAGCAGCCGGCAGCAAGGTGAGGCACATCTGCACCCACGCGGCTCGAGGGCAGGGCAGGCAACCGCACGGCAGGGCCCGGCATGTGCACCGAGGGCCTCCGAGGAGGACGCCTGTGGAGGCCTGGGGATGCTGAGGGCCTCAAGGCCCCCGACACTTCCTCCTTGGAGGCCTGCACTTCACAGCTTGAACGTCCAGGGCCTCTGGGGCCAACTTTGAACGTGAAGTCCAGTTGTCTCAGGGCAAGGGAGGTGGCTGTGCCCTGCGGGAGGAGCACTCTCCCCCTGCTTTGATGTGCATGGCTGAGCGGGGCCCCTGGCCCAGGTACCATCATCACACCAACTACGCCCATTCTGCAATGCCTGGCTCCCCTCTGCTTTAATTCTCCAATTCATTAATAATACTCTCTTCTCTAACTTTCCAATTCATCAGGACAGTAAAAGTTCATCTGTGGACTGAAACATGCCCATAAATCTAAGTCTTAAGTTCCAACAGCTGTTTCCCAAACAAGCCAGGAGAGATCAAGCAAATCTAGGCCAGGACGGCAGGAGGGGCCCCCTCCCGGACTCCTGGGTGCAGGGGGCCAGGGGGAGCTGCAGTCTGCAGTGGGGGTGGGGGGTCTTAGGGAAGCAGCCTGGGTCTTCAGCCCTTTGCAAAGCCAGGCTGAAGTTCAAGCCACAGTGGGATGGAGCACAGGACCCCACGGTGCTGCCTGGTCCCCACCAGGAGTGGGGTGAGTGTGAGGGAAAACTCTGATGCCCGCCTGGCTGGCACCCAGTGAGGCGGCCTCGCCTGCTGAGGACAGGAAGACCCAGCACCAGAGTGGCTCCACCTGTTTCTCAAAATGACCACCATCATCATGAATTTCAATCCCCCCCTACCCACATCCACGATTCCCAGGCCTTGGAGACCTTCCTTCGGGATGGAGGCACAAGAAGCTCCACTCCCCGCAGCCAGGCCTGGCCACGTTGGGAGGCCTGTCTGACTCCCTTCCCGTGGAGTCTCCGTGGATTCCCTAGGACAACAGAAGGACAGAAGATGGACAGGCAGTTGGCTGTACTGCAAGTCAGCCATATGCTGGCACACGCTGGTCTGCTCGGGAAGGGCAATGCCAAGGAAGCGTGCATGTGTACCCTAACCCCAGACGTGACACGTGACCCACTCTCTCACTGGGCTCTGGCCGAGCTGCCCCCCAGGGCCCCAGAGGGCTTGCTCTCTACCCTCAGGTCCCTGTTCAGATCCCACCCACAGCAGCACAGGGCAGCCTCACCCCACGGCAGTTGGCATGGCCACTTGCCTTGGTTCTAACCTCGGTTCTCGACAGGACTGTTCTTTTTAGGATACCATGGCCCCTCCAGCTGCAACGTGACAGGTCTCACTCTGCCCGACCTCAGTGTCTGTCCGCGGGCCTCTACGTCAATGCTCTCTGGGGTGCACCCTCCTGCCCCACTCCTTCTCGGCCGCCCTCTTGCCCAGGATTCCTTGCCCACCCCATGACACCCCTGCTCCCAGCTGTCCTCGCTCCGTCCCTCTCTTGGCATACCTGGTGACGATGCCCCACCCTCAGGCTGCACCTAGGGCGTGATGATGCCTGCTGGGCACCACAGCATGTCCTGGTTTTCAGCTGGGACCACCCCCTCAACCCATATGCCTCAGGAGCTTGGTGGTGCCCGCCTGGAGCCTCTCTCCTTGGTTGTGGGGGCCTGTGCTGGGCAAGTGCGAGGCAAGGCAGGCTGGCTAGGCTGCTGGGGAAGGCCTCCTCATCTGGAGAGGTGCCTTGAGAGATGCCCTCTTCCTCGGCCTCCTGTCTGTGGTGGGAAGCCCGGACCACCACAGTCCTTGCAGAGGTGGGCAGCCCCCAGGCGCTGTCCTCCAGTGCCCACTGATGAGAGCCCAGGTGAGGCCGGAGCCAGGCCTGCTGCTGCTTCTGCTGGCAGTCACCCTGAGGGCCACACAGCTCCCACCTGGGCCCTGTTCTCCCCCGGACGTGGGTTCACAGAACTGCCTTTCCAAGGAGCTTCCACTCACTGGCTACGGTCAAGCCTCAGCCTTCCAAGGCTTCCGGGCTAACGGGAGCTCCTCACCCTCCCTGCCCCCAGAAGCCAGTGTGCACCCAGGCCACCCTCTGGGGGCTGACAGGACAGGGTGCACCCAGCACCTCACCCATGGCCTGCAACACCCAGGACCTGCGCCAGAGAGAGGCATGGACAGGACGCTCCCTGCCCCCAACTCCATCACCTCCATCCCAAACAGGGCTGAGTGTGCAGGCTGGGCCCCTCCACGCTAAGCACTGGGCACAAGCCCAGATGTGGCCGTCAGGAGCTCCGCGAGCCACACGGGATGGGCAAGTCCACCGAGACGTCATGGGAAGGTTCGCAGCAACAGCCCGCTCTGCCCCGAGGCCTCACCCCCCCCTGCTGCCCGTGAGGAATGGCCTCCCTGGGGCCAGCTTGCAGACCGCTGCAGGGGCGTGACTCCGTGGATGTTTCCACACTGGGTTTTTCTTTTTTTCTGATTAATCAGTTCCTTACTGACCAAATTCCTCTGAGTTTTTGCAAATGGGCTTTGCATACTCCTGGACTCTGCATGCCTTTTCTCTAGATGGACAGGACGTGACTGCCGCTAACCCAAGGTCTGAGAGAAAGCCAACCACGTGAGCAGCTCCCACACGCCCACGCCCCCTTCTTCCTGCGCCGGCACCCGCCTCAGAGTGATGAATTAGCCAGGGATCCGCTACAACTCCTCTTCATGCCTAAATATTGTTTCAGCCTATCAGACTGTTAGTGCAAAGCAGGATAAATGACACTTTGGGTCTGGCACACTGACCTGCAGGGCCTGCTGCTCATCCAGGCTCCAGACAGCCAGCGCCTTCTCCGCGGAGCCTGAGATGCCCCTGGCCTTCTGGGAGTCAAAGTCAAGGCCCGTGATAGGCTCTGTGTGGCACGCGACACGGCTGCACACCTTCCGCTCAGAGACGTCCCACAGGGCCACTGACCCGTCCTCGTAGCCAGCCAGGAGGAGCGGGCGGGGGCTGCAGTCGGCCTGCAGGGGACAGCACAGCAGTCAGCTCCTGAAAGGCCCTGGCACATTTTGGGGGAGAAGGGGCTGGAGAGCTGGGCGGCCCCGTCGGGGCCCCGTTTCCCATGTTCTCCACAGGGCAGTAACAGTTCACAGGCTCTGCACACCCCCTTGACCGCTGACATCATCAGCACAGGGCCAGCACGGGTGGTACCGGGGCCCCCCCAAGGACGGGGACTGGAGGGCACAGAGGCTGGGGGAGCCGGGTGCAGCCCTGCCTCAGACTGCCGGGCCACTGCTCCTAGCGGGCACTCACTGCGGCCGCCACATGGTGCTGCGTCCTCCCCCCTCCTTTCTGTAGGCCTGAGACTTGCGGCCATCCCTTGGTGGGGCTGGTCACCTGTCTAGAACCGCCAACCAAAGAAAATCAAGAGCTCCATCTCAATGAAAAATGAACTTTCTGTGCTTTGTCAACGTCACTGCGGGAGCCTCCCACCCCCAAGCCTGGTGAGTGGCCGCAGCGATGACTGGTGAAAGACGCCCTCTCGCTGGCCTGCTCTATTGTGATGGATGAGGGAGCGGGTCAGAGGGCTCTGCACCCCAGGCAGGCGCCTCGTTTATCTGGGCTCTGCAACAACTCCCGAAGAAGAGCGCTGCAGGATTCCGTGTCACTCTGGCACCGAGAGTGGCGGCCCCAGGCACTGCCAACAGGAAACGCCTCCACGACAGGTGCCAGGTTGCTCCCGGGACAGAGCATGCGCCGCGGCCACCTGCTGCCCTTCACTCGTCTCTGTGTTCTCCACTGAGCTGCCTAGGGTGGGCGTCACTCCAATGTCAGGAATAACTGAGCAAGTCACCTCCTTGGTGAATTTTCAACTGAGTCTTGGGGAGCTCCAGCTGGGCCTGGCCCTCAGCCTCTGGATGGTCAACGATGGGAACTGGAGCCCGGGGGGCTGGTCAGCGAGGCTGTGTCCTTAGCCACCTGCAACCCCAAGGATGTCCCCTGCTGGCAGGCAAGGCTGGAGCTGAGCAGATCGCCTGGGCCTCACTGGACACAGGCCGACAGTGCCGCAGAGGCCTTCCCCGCCCCACCCACCTGCGGGAGCTCCTAGTATCATGTTGTGTGGGCGCTTCTGCCAGCGAGGGCTCCAGGCCAGCACCACAGCACACACTGCAGAGTGCCTCTCCACAGCCTTCTCAAGCACCCAGAAAGGACCCTCGCTCGGCTAAGTAAGGTGACCTGCTTTAAGCAGAAGGCCTAACACGAGTGGACCCCACATCCTCAAACAACCCAAGGAAGAAGGGCTTTCTCTGTGCATCAGAAGGGGAAACTGAGGCTGTGTGGTGCGGTGTATGTCACAGGGCCCCCAGCAGTGATGGGAGCCAGGGGGAGCCTGATGCCGACCAGCTCTTTGATCTGGAGGAGGTGGCTGTACCAGGGGAGGGGGAGGACACAACCACCGAGACCTGCACACAGCTACAGTGAATTCTCCCAGGCCAGAGCTGGTCTGGAGGACGCCTCCTGCACGTCCCCGGAAATGGCTCATACGATCTTTTTTTTTTTTTTTTGTAAGGAAGATCAGCCCTGAGCTAACATCTATTGCCAATCCTCCTCCTTTTTTTCCTTTTTTCTCCCCAAAGCCCCAGTAGATAGTTGTATGTCATAGTTGCACATCGTTCTAGTTGCATGTGGGATGCCACCTCAGCATGGCCGGACAAGCAGTGCGTCGGTGTGCGCCCGGGATCCAAACCCAGGCCGCCAGTAGTACAGCGCACGCACTCAACCGCTAAGCCACGGGGCCGGCCCCCAATCATTTTTTCTGCTGATAATACACGTTCACACAAACAAAAACGGAAAGGAGGAGTCTAAGGAAGGGAGTGAGGCTCCTAGGAGGAGGCCTGTGGCAGTCTGAGTGCCTTCCTGGGGCCTCCTGCACGCTGATTGCCCAGCGGGCCGACTGGATGAGCAGTCAGCAGAGCAGTCCAGTGGCTGGGAACCCTGAGGGGTAGTGCAGTGCCCCCCACCCTGCCCATCCACAGCAGCTGGTGAGGCCCACCCCAGAGGGTCTGAGTGCACCAGTCCCTGCCTCCAGCAGGCCTCATGCAGAAGCCCCTCGTGCAGAGCACCAGTTGGTGCGCTCTCCCTGTAGTTTTGTAACAGGGAAGAGCTCCACTTGGGCATCTTTCAGATCATCTGATCAGGAATTATTTGCGCAGGGTAAAATTATTTACAACTGTTTTCTCCAAAGACACACAGAGTACTCTAAAAAGTGGTCATGCCCTCTGCTCAGGCAGCTCCTTGTGGGCAGCCGTGCCTCCCCAGACAGGGCCTTCCTCCAGGACCGTACCTGCACACCGGGCAGTGTGAGGGCCAGGTGAGAACGGCCCAGACGCTGTCTGCTCCCCAGCCAGGAACTCAAGCCGGCCCTGAGACCTGCCCTGCCAGGCCCACCCCACAGGCCGGCTGTGAGGAACTCTCCAGGGGCCCACTTGGGTCCATTTCCACCAGAGCAGTGCTCTGCCGTGTCACCTGCTTCCCCTCCATGCTGCGCAGGCCCAGCCTGTCCCCGGCCCCATGGCACATCCCTCCTGTGTCCAGGGCTCCTCTCGTTGCTGACACTTTGGTTCTGGTCAGTCTCTGTAGCCCCAGCCCGTGTGATGCCTGTGGTCCTGGGCTCTGAGCGCCTCGGCTAGTTCAGGGGCTGCACACTACTGACCCACCTGTTGAGGTGCCATGGGCAGCCAGAGCAGGAGCCAGGCTGGCCTACAGGCGCTCCCTCTGTGGCTGCCAAGGAGACACAAATGCTGAGCTCCGGCCCGGGCTGCCCACTGCTCCCCACCTGCACTGTGGGTGCCTCCAGCTTCTCTCCTGGCATGTAGGGTCCCTGGGGCTCCCCAGTGACAGACAATTGCAGGCAGAACAGTGCTCCTGTGGCCTCGAGCCTTCGGTGGCCATGCCCTTGGTGCCAGGCTGACCTCCACAAGGCGAGGACCTGAAGTTGTCACAAGGACTCACTCTGCATCCCCTCCCATCTCTGGGCATGCTGGCCGGAGGGACCTCCAGCAGGCAGTCCCCGACCACAGCATCTCGAGTCCTCAGCTTGGGTGGGGCCCATTAGAGGGGCCCCGAGGCCCAGGGGCTGGGAGCCTGCTCCAAGGGCTGGTGCAAATGATCTTCCTGACCTTTTATGTGATCATCACAACAATGCAGGTCAGCCACTTTGAGGAGCAAAACAAGAATACATCTGGGGCCGGCCTGGTGGCTTAGCGGTTAAGTGGGCGCGCTCTGCTACTGGCGGCCCGGGTTCGGATCCCGGGCGCGCACCGACGCACCGCTTGTCTGGCCATGCTGAGGCGGCGTCCCACATACAGCAACTAGAAGGATGTGCAGCTATGACATACAACTATCTACTGGGGCTTTGGGGAAAAAAAGGAGGAGGATTGGCAATAGATGTTAGCTCAGAGCCAGTCTTCCTCAGCAAAAAGAGGAGGATTGGCGTGGATGTTAGCTCAGGGCTGATCTTCCTCACACACACAAAAAAAGAATACATCTGAACGTTTCAGAAAAAAATACCATGTCAGGCCATTCTGCCACACTCAGATTATGAAGTTATAACCTACATCTTCAGGTTTGGAGAGAAAAAAAGGGACATTTGAAATTAACATAGACTTTTCTCAACAGGATGCTTTGCGCTGGATCTGTATCAACTAACAAAAACACGATTTGCCCTTCTGTCAACCATATTAATTACCTTAACAAGTTTGTACATCCCGGTTCCACACATTTTTCTGCTGGAATTTTTATGTGATTACACAACGACAGTGTTACCAGGGAACAGAGAACGAGCAGACGCAGCCGCCACCGCCGTCCTGCCCCGGGCCTATGACCCCCACACCATTGCCTACGACATCACGACCTTGGGGGTGTGCCCCATGAAGCGCCCGCCACAAACCTGATGGTGCCAGGAGCTTTGTCACTCAGGTGAGTTCTCGGAGCCCCCCTCCTCAACAACTCTCCCAGGCTTCTCTCTGAGAGGCTGTGGGACACCACAGGATCAGCTGATCAGAGGTTCCAAATTCCAGCTGGAATGTTCTTGGCTAAGAAACTGCAGGGGGAACCAACTGCAAGACAGGGCCAGTCCCTGGAGGGACAAAAGCTTGGGGCAGGGTCTCTGGGGGCGCCTGTCCCGTGGAGCCTGTCGCCCACACCTACATCTCCATGCACTTGAGCCTGGCTGGTCTAACTCTTAGGAAGGGCTCCCACAGGCAGCGAGGCACCCGGGCGCACAGGGTGGCTCTTGGAAAGCACTGGTGATCCGAACAGAGCTGGGTAGACAGCCTGTAAGCAGCGGTCCAAGGCCAGCACTGATTGGTAACCTGCTTGCCATGGTTTCTGCCACGGCAAAGACGCTGCCAGGGTCCTTCCAAGTGAAGACACCAGACCATCTGCTCTGCTGCCCCAAATACGAGCGCCCCAACAAGCGGAAACTGCACACTCTGAGCCAGTGCTGACCTCTGGGGGTGCGGGCCAGCCTCGAGGAGGGCCCGGCCTCTGGTGGAGGCTGGCAGCCCAAGAGGAACCCTCCCAGGCCTGGGGCCAAAACCCATCCTACCGGGACCCAGGCCTGTGACCCCCTCCCTGGCCCGCTGACTTCTGCTGCCAGCCCAGGAGATGCCTCTGTAATGAGATTAGACCCTCTCTAATCAGAAAGAACAGTTGAGAAAGAAGGAAATGGCTGTACTCAGAAATTCTGAGTACCGCCTCAGGGAAAGCCACATGTTGAGCCCACTTCTCCTCTACGAGGCAAAGAAGCAACAAAAATTAATCCCAGGCACAGCAGGGGCTGTGCAGGCCTGGAGAGTTAGTCAGCACTCCCCTCCCAGCCCCACACAGGGCCCCGGACTGGCGTGCGGAGAGGAGGGGTGCACGCGCCCTCCCCAGGACCCTGCCGTCCCTCCTCACCGCCCAGGCAGGGGTGCCGCTCAGAGCCGGTGGGGGATAGCACAAGCCAGGCCTGCCCTGTGCAGTTTGCAGCAGAGCCCTCACAGCCGCGGTGGGTGGCAGGGACTGGCTGGGGACATCGAGGCTGCAGAAGGCAGAATGCACATGTTCTCCCAAGGGGCTGATTGCCCCTTTGGTTTGAGATAAACCAAATCCTGAATGGGGCATGATTCAGGGCCCAGTGGGTGTGGCTGGCAGGGCATGGCTGGTACGCGCTGGGCCTTACCTGCCACAGCTCCAGGCACATGGGCATGCCCGGCTTGGCATCTGCCTCCGGCTTCAGGGTGCACACTGACGTCTTGGATGGCATCTCCAGAATCTGAACCTGACAGTAAGAAAACAAGTTGATCTGGGCCGGTGCCAAGGCGAGTCTGTGCTACACAAACAAGGGACTTTTAAGGCGGTGAGCCAAGGCTGCTGCGAGTTTCTGTCTGCTCCCGCAGGAACCGGGGGCCGAGACCCCTAATTAGGCCGCACAGGCTCATGGGCTTGGGCGCTTCTGGGCCTTGCGAAACGCACGCATCATTCCTGAGTGACTGGCACGTCCCTCTAACCAGCGTTACTGCCCGGCAGCCGCCTCCGGCCTCTCCAGATTTTACCTCTTTGCCGAGCAGGAGGCCTGACTCAGCTCGCTGATCCTCCCAACCTCAGCCTGCTTCTCCTTCCTGGTGTGGGTTGTACATGTGAACGACTCTGAACTGTCTCAGGCATATCAAATGGTATAAAGAGTTGCACAGGGATGCCTGGGACCCAGCACCGTGCCTTGGAGAGGAACATGACAGGCACCAAAGGAGCTCTGTTTGGAACCACGTGTCCCTGCACCTTTATACCGCATCTCACAGCTATATTTCGTGGCAACTGAACACAGGTGCAGGGCCCCCCTGTGCCTAGGCTGGGAGACGTGCCTGGCGGCTCACACTCAGCCTGTCCCCCCAAGCTGGTCCAAGCTCTGCCCTGCACGGTCCACAGGGCACGGCAGAGGCCACAAGAAGCAGGCTCGGGCATGGAGACCCGCAGACTGGAATTGGGTCCCCAGCCACCTGCACCCCTATCATCTCAGCCCCGTCATCTGCCGAGCGGGGACAAGGGTGACCCTCCTGCAGGGCTTGGAAAAGGAGAAGGGATCCCGTGCGAAGTAGGTCCACCACCCGGTGGTGGGAGGCTCGGCTGGTCCTTAGCTCCCCGAGGTACCGGTGAGAGCTGCTCTACCAATAATGTGACGACAACAACGTGCAGCCACCACGCAGCCGCACCTCACACCCACCGACATGGGGGCATCCTCCGGTTTGCAGACAAGGAGTCTGAGGTCCAGAGGGGTCATGGGTGTCAAGGGGACAGCAAGCCGGCCGTCTGACACCCAGAACACAGAAACCCCAGCAAGGAGAACCTCAGGGGAACTCGAGGCGTGAGGGTCTGAGCCACACTGCTCTCACTGACCCCCACAGGAGAACCCGCCCGGGGCCCTGAGTGGAGTCCCGGCTCTGATTTCAGATCTGCCACATGCATGCTGGGTGGCCGTGTCCAAGGGCGGCAGCAGGCAGGGCAGAAAGCCGCAGCACGGCCTGGTCCTCCCAGCTACGGGTCCTGTGACAGCCTGCCTCTGCGCCGGGCGTCACCTCCACGGTTGGGGTTGGGGGTACGCTCTGGGTGGGGCTCTTGCCAGAAGCCCCAAAGCATCCCAGTACCAGGGGAGGGCTCACTGCCGAGGAACAGCAAGTCCTGGGACCCTGCCGAGTGTGCACACGCGCACATGTACACACACGTGCAAACGCCTAGGGGGGTGTGCAAGGTCACTCTGACACCCATGCCAGCCGCCTTGGCCCTCACTACCCACAAAGGAGACAGAAAAGAACCTAAGTGATGTGAGCAGGTGTTACTGTCACGAAATAAGAGGCTGCTAGAAGGAGCCCCAGAACAGCAAAACACTGAAGGAGGAGCGCCAACGAAACGATAAGAAATATAAGAGAGAGGGTGTGACAACCAAGAAGTGGCCAGGGAGCACGGCCCAGAAGTAACAAGAAAACCGAAGGCAGGGAGAGGGCCTCTCGGAGCCCTTCTGCTCGCTCTCTGCAGTGAGTAACATTGGTGTGTAACATTGGTGTGGCACAGGCTCATCACTGGAGAACCACGGCAGAGCTGGGGGGAGTGGGCGAGTGGGAGGGCGGCGGGCAGAGCACCCACGGGGCACGCTCACCCCGGGGCCACCACCCCCACAGAACAGAGAAAGATGTGCTCTTCTTGGTTCAGCGCCTCGGGGACCCAAGCCTGTTCAAGGGCAAAGCAGCAGGCGTGGGCCGCATGCATGCTGGCCTGCCCCTTTGCCGCTTCAGAGGCTGCAGGAGCCAGCCCATGTCTGTGCTGCTGAGGGGGACAGTGGTTTCCCACCTTCTAACTGCTCTAGTGCCAGATTTCCTAAAATGAGATCTGTTCCTTTTGTCACCACATCAGGAGGATGGGCTGGTTTCAAGATGTTGACTGGGTGGCAGGAGGAGAAGCCACAGGGAGAGGGATGCCGGAGGACGCAGCAGTCACCAGACACATAGTCCGCACAGGCCTGCACCCTGGACAGCATGGCATGTAGGTCCATGGGTCAGCGAGGGACAGGCTCAGGAAGACCCCTCTGGGGGCAGTGAGGAGTGGCAGGAGGCTAAGTGGGTTGGACAGGGGCGAGTCGCCCAGCAAGTCTGCTCCGGCGGGGAAGAGAGAGTGAGAAGGGAAACCGAGGGGAGCCCCAAGCCCGAGCCAGGTGCTATGGGAGGGAGTATGGGGGCAGCATCCAGGGCCACGACCCAGGTGCAGGAAAGTGAGGAGCCCACGCACGGCCTGAGGACCAGAAGCAGGCCCACGGGCCTCTGTGGGTCTGAGGAGGAGCTCTGTGCTCTGGCAGGGCCTGGGCGCCTGCGCTGGGAGCCTCCTACAGACACCAGTATACTTTCCATCTGGCACTCAACTCCAACTTTTGTTCCAGTAGGAAAAATGTTTGGTTTGGGCAAGTGTGGCCACCCAGACGGCCGATCGGGGCTGGAGCATGTTCTCCCTGGGCACTGTCTGGGCACAGGCCAGCGCTGCTTTTCTAGGGCCCAGTCCTGGCAGATTGCAGGTGGGAACATGGAAATCAGCTATTTTCCCAGGATGGGCAAGGTCCCCAGACTGGCTGCACCTGAAAAACACAGTTGCTGCCTGAACTGGAAGAACTGGGAGCCAGGAAGTTGGTTACCAACAGCCTTGAGCAGAGGGGAAGAGCAGGCTCAGGGGACAGGCCCCGGGAGTGGGAGCAGAGGGTGAAGGAGGGCCGAAGGGACACTCACAGCGGGGCAGGCCTGCGGTGGCCAAGATGTGGAGGGCAGTACGCAGCACCTGACCCCAGTGGTAAGAGCTAGCTGAACCCCAGGCCGGCGTACGTGGTGTGTGGTGAGGGAGGAAGGCTGGGCGCTGCCCAGCTCCTGCCATCCGGGAGGGAGCAAAGCTCTCTGTTTTTCACATTAATAAAACTTTTAACAGGTTTTTGGCAAATTGGCAAGAAAAGTGTATGTAGCTCCTAATTGGTGATTTAAACGCAATCATGAACAAATAAATGCCTGTTCTTTCTCATTATTTATGAACTGAGCTGCTTTAAGACAAACGACTCTTCTTGGGCGGGGGCCAAACCTCACCACGTGCACGGGCCAGGGCCCTGCCCAGCCCCGCCTGCCGCACAGGCTCTGGGGGCCAGCAGGGACACAAGAGAACATGGGAGTGGGCGGTAGACAGGAGCCCGGCCCGTGTGCACCCCCAGCCCCCACCCCACTCTTGGAGCCCTGGCCCCCACACTTGCCAGGCCCCTGAGCAGCCGTGCCCCACACTCACCAGGCCCATCCCATAGCCTTTACAGGTTTCTTCTTCAATTTCCCTTCAGCTCCTCCAACAGCTGGTGCCTCCAGCCACTCCTCCTTCCTCTACCACATCCCGCAGTCCTGGGCACTGCTTCTCTTGGTGGACTCTGACCCTTCTGCCCTCGGGGGTGTGGATGCCACTGTGCAGCCTAACCAGTCCCCTGCCACCAACCACTGCTGGCTGCTCTGGACTGAGCTCCGTGCGACGGCCACCTCCGAAGCTCGGTCATGCCCACCACCCCCAGAAGCCCCATTCTTTGATGTTCCCCTGCTCACCTGTGCCCCTCTATACTGCAATTGCCACCCTGGTGCCAGCTCCTTATGCCCCGCATCCCAGCCCTGCCTGAGGCTTCTTACACCAGGACCCAGTTCTGCTCCCCAAAAGGCCGCCCTCCCCTGCTGCCCTGGCTCAGAGGCCCTCTCGACTTCACCAGGGCCTCTGTCTCTCCCAGACTACACCTCCTGCTGGCCTGCCTGGGACTTCTGTCTACACATGCCCACCCCTAAGTCCTCTGAGGATCTGTATGGGTGGTCCCTCCCCCAGTGTTCTTGATGGCCTTGGGCCTCAACACCTGTCCATTGTGCACTGCTGTGCTGTGCCAGGTGCCAGGGCCTCACAGAGACACTAGCCCACTGCCCTGGGCCTCCTTGCTGACTCTCACCACCAGGGCACCTCACAGGCGACCAGGCCAAGACTCAGCCTGCAGCCCCCGGAACTGTGATCCAGCAGGCAGACCTAGACCTGCCCCGGCTCCTCGGGGTCCTACAGTGGGCATTGCATTCCTGTAACCAGGTGCTTAGAATGAGCATGCCTGTGTGAGGGAAACCAAGCACCCAGTGACTCGTGGAACAAGACGTTGTGTGGGCTGGCGCTCACCTCATCACTGCCTCTCCCCGGCACGGCCAGCGTCCATCGCTGATGGCCCCCAGCCAGGATGGAGCCCCTGCAGAAGCCGATGCTCTCCAGGCGCACGGAGTCCACCACAGCATTTCTGCCCTCTGCCAGGTCCCACAGGCACAGCTTCAGGTCCCGGCCCTGACTGCCAAAACCAAGAGGAGACAGGCGTGAGGCCCTTGGTGAGCAGATGGTGCATCCAACCCACCCAGAAATCGGTGTGCTGTGGCCAGCCTGACGCCAAAAGAAGGCAGGGGACACTTTTGAAAGAGGCGCCACGGCTGGTGCCAGGTCATCAGGTGGGGGCACCTCGGCTGAGGAAGGGCTTTGCATCAAGACGCCCAATGCCAGGATACTGCTCATGGGCCGTCCCAGGGGCACACGGCAGACTGAAGCCCAGGGCACTCCGTGGCGCATGCCCCGTGACCGCATCCTATGGTCTTCCCGCCGCTCTCTCTCCCTCTGTGAATTAACTTCGACACCTTGGCAATCCCAACTCCCAGGTATTTTCCCAAGTGAACTTAAAACCTACATTCACACAAAAACCTGTACGTGAATGTTTACAGCAACTCTGTTCATAACTGTACAAATCTGAAACAACTGTTGAACGGGAGACTGGATAACAAACGGTGAGGTGTCCATACCACGGAATTCCACTCAGCAACAGAGAGGAAGGAATACACCCCACGTAGCAACCTGTGGGAATCTCAGTGAAGGAAGCCAGATCCAAAAGGCCACAGTGCTGCACGATCCCATCTGTGTGACATTCTAGGAGAGGCACAATGGAGGGACAGAGGACTCCAGGGGCCTTGCCCACAGAGGGACGGCACAAGGGATCTGCAGGTTGCCAACTGCTCTGGATGGCCCTGGGGTGGAGCATACGTGACTGTGGGAATCCATCAAACCCACAGAACTAAGGCACAGAGCAAGCTTTACTGTGTATACTTTAAAAAACCACACAACCAGGATGTCAGGATCCCAGGATGGACTGCAGACTGTGACAAATGCATGGCATACTGCACCCAAGGGGAGGGCAGACAGAAGCCAACCCGAAGAATTTGGGAAAAGTACGTCAACTTGAAACTGCAAAGTTGAAGACAAAATAACCGTGCAGAAACACAGAACTCTAGTTGGTAAGTCTGTTTCTCACGGGGGTGCGGGTCAGCAATTCTGAAACCTCTTCACGTGGACAGCAGGGTTGAACAGAGAGGTACATAAGTAGTGGAGAGCAGGAGCCAGGTTTCTCCCTGTTACAGAAAGCGGTCACAAAGAAGCCTGGGAGAGGCAAGAATGGACCCCGTGGTGTTGGATTCAAATCGGAGACGTCAGTATGAAGGCATGTTTATCCAAATACCCAGACCGACACAGAGATGCCTATGGGTGTGTATGCAGCATGGCCCGTGCACACACAGCTATTCCCCAGGCTGCCCGCCGAGAAGACCTAGAAGCAACAATACCCCAGCAGTGACGAGCGCACCTAGTGCCAGGTCTAGTTTCTGATCACTCTCTCTAAAAACAGGAACCAGGTTTCTGGAGAAACGCCTGAGTCTAAGGCTGAAGTGGGAGAAAGAGAAGATGAGTTCTCAGCATCTTGTAGTGCCAGGAAGTAAGGAAATACTTCAAAAAATAAAGAATGGGGGCATGTCCAAAGGACACAGGTGCCAACGCTGGCACAGCCTGAGCAATAAAATAAATGACAGTAGTATGAGATATAACCCAAGAATACAGCAGGAGAGTGTGGGAAACAGAAAGTCCCAGAGAACCCCCAGTAGTAACTGCAGGGGGCAGACCCCACCGCAGGAGGCTAAAGTCAGAGGGTGGGACCTAAGGAGAAACAGGACACACGGACAGCCTCAAAGATCCCCTAGATGCTTATTATCACTGCGGTGGCTCTAACACACAACCCTCCTTAATTCTTCATCCCTTGAGGAAAGTCCTTGCTGGACCCAACGACTCACAGCCAAGGAGCCCAGTAAGCAGAGGGAAAACATCCCTGATGGTGGGAAACACGCAGACACAGCCCACCCCAGGTGACCCTCACCAGAGATGAGTCCTGTGGACATCATGGACTTCTGGACAGGAAAGGCACTGCATCTCTGTGGGTTTCTTTCCGGAAGCCCATCATACTGTCTAATCCTGGGAAACTGTGAGGCAAACCCAGTGTGAGAGGCATTCTGTATAACTCCTGACAGTACTCTTCCCAAGGGCGGAGGGCATGAGAAACGAGGGAAAGAGAAGCGATCACAGGCCAGAGGCGACTTGGGAGATGGGACAACTGGCTGGACCCTGGAGCAGAAAAGGACAGTGGTGGGAGACAGGAGAACCCACATGAGGCCCGGTGTCCAGTTGCCAGTGGTGCGCCAGTGTGGTGACAGACCCGCCCTGTCACGTGAGACGCTCAGGCCCCGAGGACTCGGTGCTGTGCAGATGGCCGCTCTCCCTGGGCCGACCCAGAGCAACTCAATCCCAATCCATTTTGGAGAACCTGCCAAGCTGATGTTAAAATGTGCCTGGTCAGGGGCTGGCCCGGTGGCATAGTGGTTAAGTTCGTGCACTCCGCTTTGGCAGCCCGGGGTTCACCAGTTGGGATCCTGGGCGCGGACCTGACACACAGTTCATCAAGCCATGCTCAGGCGGTGTCCCACATACAGCAACTAGAAGGATGTACAACAATGACATACAACTATCTATTGGGGCTTTGGGGAGAAAAAGGAAAAAAGGAGGAAGATTGCTAACAGATGTTAGCTCAGGGTCAATCTTCCTCAAAAAAAAAAAAAAAAAAAAGTGCCTGATCATCCAGAGAACTAGGAGATGCCGGCTCTCCCAAAGGACAGGGCTGACGCCGTGCTCTGCCAGACAGCAGGCCTTAGCCAGAAGGGCAGCAACAAAAGAGAGAGATGCGAGGGTGTCCTCGACACCGGGATGCACGGAGCCTAAGGAAGAGAAGAGGCAGCCGAGAGACGTGCTCACACAGGGAGGGCATCTGACTCACTGCCAAGATGGCAGCTAAGCCGTGAGCAAAGAAACCAGCCTGTTTTAACTGTAACTTTTTATTTTGAATTTTTTTTAACTCACAGAACAGTTGCTTCCATGCCTCCTTCACCTGGTCCCCTAATCGGTTCCCTAATTGCTAACGTACACATTCTCTCCTGCCCTGATGCCCCGCCACCCCAGAAGATCCAGCGTGTGCCTTGCCACCTCCACACTCCCCTCCAAGGGCAAGGCAACCCCAGAACAGCCAGCAGCCCGTCTGCGGTTTACCAGTGGTCCTACAGAGTGTCCTGGAGTGGCCTCCCCTAGGCGGTCCAGGACCCACGCCGTGCTTGTCGGTCCTCATTAGCCCCCTGGACCTGGACAGACCTCATCGTGCCATCTCTCGTGTCCCTGGCACTCTCAGAGAAAAGAGGCCTTCCGTTCCCTAGGGTGACGTTTCCATGTTCGGGAAGGACAGCACCCTCTCAGTGCATAATCAGGGCACATGATGCCAACCGCCCACCTTGACTGCCTGGTCAAGAGGTGCCTGCCAGGTGTGTCCACTGCAAAGCCACCACTCCCTGTTTGGTTAATACCTGTGGGAAGATATTCTGATATGATGCCAGTATCCCAACTCTCAAATGGCCCACTGCCTTGGCGCACACTGATACTGCCCACATGTCAACCAGGCCCTTCACAGCCGCCGACAAGTGACTCCCACGTCCATCTTCTACATTCACGAAGGGCCATCCTACTGAAGAACGGGCTTTCCCTTCTCCTTCTGTTTCCTCTCTTTATATCGCTTTGGATGCATGCATTCCTGTGTTATTCAACACAAAATTCTCATTAATTATTTTTGTGCTCAAACCATCCCAGCCTGGCCAACGGGAGTCCCTTCAAGTTGGCTCAAAGTTCTTCTGACATGTGTCCGTCAGTAAGGTATTCCAGACCTAGAATAAGTCATTTCTGTAAGGAATCCTAGTTCCTTCTGGTGCAGACAGATGTTTAGAAACCAAGGTCTGGGTGCAGGTGTGCTCCCTGTTATAAGGTGCTGCCACTGCCAGCCCCTCTCGGCAGAGACAGCCAGGAAATACCTACACACACACACACCACATATCCTCACATTCACACACCTGACAAAGACACACATCTCACACTCACAAATATTTCTGTACCTATCTTTGTGTATATATTTTCAAAACCCCACAAGTTCATGCTGATGGCCTGAGGGTTCTTTCTCCCCTTCCTCCTTATCAGGCTATGACTCCCTTCTCTGACAGGGAAATATGTGGCTCCTCTTATCCTCAAGATATTTACTGACATGCTCAACCAACGAGCTCGCTTGTGCGGTGTAGCCAATCTCCCAACCTCCCCAGCCACCTCTGAGACCCTGTCCCCATCACTCTGCTTCTCCGGCCACATGCTCGCTGCTCCAGCCACCTCTGCCTGGCAGCCACTGCCTTCCCTGTCCCACTTCCTCAGATGCCAATGTCACTAAACTTGGAAGGGAAATGGGAGCAGGGAAGATGGGACCATCGGGTATCCATATGGAAACAAAGACACCAAATCCACACCGACAGTGGATTCCAGACAAATGTGGATGAAAAGGAACAGCAGTGAAGCTCTGGGGAGATGAGCAAGGGGGCTTCACGACCTGGTGCCAGGACTCCTTTGCAAGACACAGAAACACAAGCCATTAGAGGAAGACCACGGATTTGCCTTCACTAAAATGACTAACTTAAAGACATTAAATGTCTTAATGTCATTAAACACAACATTAAGAGAGGGAAAAATGCAAGCCACGTGTTAGAGAAATAGTTGGTGATATAAAAATATCTACCATACCTAGAATATAAAAAGAACTCCTATAACTCAATTAGAAAAAGGCAGTCAATCCAGTGGAGAACAGGCATTTAAGAGAGTTTATCCACGTGGCCAACACACACAGACGAGGCTCACTCATCAAGTGGTCAGGAAAATGCAAACAAGGCCACAGGAGCTCCCAGGCCCCTGGCAGCAGCGGCGGGGGGGAGGCCCACACCAGGAGTGCAGCCTGGCACCCTCCAAGCTGTCCAGCATGCACACACTCTACGGCCTGGACACCCACCTATGGGCACAGGGTCTAACCTGCAGGCATGTGCATGTGCACCTGGCACCAGGAAGCCCCACAGGAATTTTCTTAAGCTTCATCCTTCACAGCTCCAAGTGGACAACACAGACCTCCACCGACAGTAGATGGGAAGTAATATGGCCATATACATCCAGTAGATACCACACAGAAAAAGCCCACACAATGAGCTGAAGCTACAGACACCATGGGGGATCTCACCAAGACAGAGCTGAGTGACAGGAGTCAGATGCAAAGGAAGCTATTCCGCATGGCTCCATTTTTAAAAAATTTTTTTTACTGATGTCTTAACAGTTTATAATATTGTGAAATTTTCGTTGTACGTTGTTGTTTGCCAGTCACCATATAAATGCCTCCCTTCATCCCTTGTGCCCACTCCTCAACCCCCTTGCCCCTGGTAACCACCATGCAGTTCTGTCTGTCTGTGTGTTGGTTTATATTCCACATATGAGAGAGGTCATACGGTGTTTGTCTTTCTCTCTCTGGCTTATTTCACTTAACATAATACCCTCCAGGTCCATCCATGTTGTTGCAAATGGGATAATTTTGTCTTTTTTTATGGCTGAGTAGTATTCCATTGTATATATATACACCACATCTTCTTTATCCAATCATCTGTAGAAGGACACTTGGGTTGCTTCCACTTCTTGGCTATAGTGAATAATGCTGCAATGAACATAGGGGTGCATAAGCCTCTTTGGATTATTGATTTCAGGTTTGTTGGATAGATTCCCAGTAGTAGGATAGCTGGCTCATAGGGTATTTTCTATTTTTAGTTTTCTGAGGAATCTCCATACCGTTTTCCATAGGGGCTGCACCAGTTTGCATTCCCACCAGCAGTAAATGAGGGTTCCCGTTTCTCCACAGCCTCTCCAGCATTTGTTATTTTTTGTCTTGGTGATTATAGCCATTCTAACAGGAGTAAGGTGATGTCTTACTGTAGTTTTGATTTGCATTTCCCTGATGATTAGTGATGTTGAACATCTTTTCATGTGCCTATTGGCCATCTGTATATCTTCTTTGGAGAAGTGTCTGCTCATTTCCTCTGCCCATTTTCTGATCAGATTGTTTTTTTTGTTGTTGTCCAGTTGTGTGAGTTCTTTATAGATTATGGAGATTAACCTCTTGTCAGATATATGATTTGCAAATATTTTCTCCCAGCTGGTGGGTTGTCTATTCATTTTGATCCTGGTTTCATTTGCCTTGCAGAAGCTCTTTAATCTGATGAAGTCCCACTTGTTTATTTTTTCTTTAGTTTCCCTTGTCCAAGAAGACATGGCATCCAAAAAGATTCCTTTATGACCATTGTCAAATAGCATATTGCCTATATTTCCATTTTTTAAGTTAAGGAAAAAGTAAACAAAATGAGCCTATGCCTTTTGGAGATGGATTTTCAGCCAGTAAAGCAAGAAAAAGGCGCAAGGAACTGCCTCCCAAAGACGAGGACAGAGTGGCCAGGTGGGCGTGAGGGGCTCCTGGGGGCTGGCAGTGCTCTGCTTCCTGATGGGAGTGGGTGTGCAGGTGTCCACTCCGTGATAATACACCAGTCTACAGACTTGTTCTGTGCACTTTTCTGTAAGTACGTTACATCTCACAATAAAAGAGGTAGAGAACAGACCCACCCAGGTGGCTGTCGCAGGCACAGGTGCCTCCTCGGGTGCAGGTGGGGCTGAGGAGTGTCTGCAGAGCAGCCCTGGGCTTCCTGAAGCCCTGTGCACAGCCTGGGGAGGGCTGGGGCCCCTGGCTTCCCACTTTCTGTCCTCCAGCCTCCCCTTGACATGAAAGCACACCTTCCCTTCTCAAGGGCCACTTTGGAGAGACCTGACTTCCAAACACAGCTGGGCATGCGGCCTCTAGTGTAACGTAAACGCACCTGGGCATTCCAAGCACCTGCACGGTCTGCGCCACAGACCTCCTGACCCACGGGCCCACCGCCTGGACTGGGGCCACTGCAGCACCATCCTGGCTGGAAGGAAAGGTGCCATCAAACATTCGCTCATAGGTCGCCCTCAGAACTTGCCTCCCTGCACAGCATCAGGCCTGGCTCTCCGAAGAGTGAAGCCTGAGAGCCGGCATCGGGTGCCTGGGCACTTACGGCCAGGGGTTCCCAGAGCACAGCCCAAGGAGCCCGGACCCTAACGGAGAAGGAGGCCCCAACGGGTCTATACCTGGGGTGAAAATTCAGGAGGAACATTTTTACAAATAGTAACTCCCGAGGCAAGAGGCTTAGTGGGGTATTTGGACACGACCTCTACTTGACAATCAGGGAAAGACCAACACTGTATGAAGGGCCCTATGCACTAAGCAGGAAGGAGGCGAGCCCAGGCGAGGGCTCTACAAGCAAACACGTCCAGGGCCACCGCCCCTGGACACCTCCGGTCCCCTCCAGTCCCCCAGTCACCCGCGAGCCACCTTCAGGGTGGTGGGAGCTGCGTGAGTCTGGCACAAAAGTGTTCTGCAGAACAGTGGGGCCTAGCAAGCCTCTTCCTCCAGGAACTGGGCTCCCCAGTGCCCAGATGTGCAGGCTCTGAGTGCAGGGCAGGAGGAGGAGAGGTCAGTCTGCAGCTCTGGGGCAGAGGGTGTCAGGAAAGCAGCACTTTGACTTGGTGGACTCCTGGGCTGGTGCAGCAATCCCCACACGGGGAGCAGGGAGGGCCACCCAAGACAACGGCACACCCTGGCAGCCATGGGGGCCCCCAGCTTCCTGCATGCTCTCTAGTCTGTGCCTGCCCTGTCTCTCCCTCTCCCCAGGGAAGAGGGAAGCCCCTCCCAACCTGCTCTCTCACCCACCTGCCCCCTGCTGCTGCCTCCAGGCCCACACCCACCTGAAGTCCTCGGCCTATCACCTCTACAAGGCCGCAGTGGCAGTGCCAGAATACAGTCCCTCCCCACTCTGCTGCCCAGCCTGCAGCCCCTCATGGCCCCTGTGATATTGACATTCACAGGCCGGCCCTATGTGGCCTCAGCACATGCATTCTTCTCTGCTGGGAGTACCAGGCCCCCTTGCTCCTGCCATCTCCTGCTGACCCTGTGCTGGCCAGCCCTGAGCCGCAGACCTGGACACGGGAGTGGCACTCCCAGTGCCTCTGGAGGCAGCCGTGCTGGGGATGTGGAGCACAGCCTGGTGAGCTTTAAGATCAGGCTCTGCGCTGCCTTGGCAACCAGTCCTTGTCGTCTTGTGGGAAAGTGGCTCCACAACCAGGGAGAAGGCCACCCTGCAGAGTGGCTGTCATGACACCCAGGCCCAGAAGCCTGCGGGAGGGAAGCTGAGGCTCCTTCAAGGAGAGGCCTCAAGCCCCAGCTCTTGCCACTAGGGAGCTCTGGCAGGCCAGGGCGGGCTCTGCTCAGGCCACAGGTGGCATGAAGCCACAGACAGCATTGTCCCGTGCGTTCATCAGGCTCTTCTCAGTGGGCACCTGCCTGGAGAGCACAGCCGTTACAGAGGCAGTGACCAGCACCCAGCACACCTGGGACACGCGGCACTGGGACGGGCTGAGGGCAGAGGTCACACCCTGTTCTGCTGTTGGAGGTGGGGCTGCCCTGGCAGCTAGGGGAGGCCATGAGGACCTCCACTGGAGAGTTCCTGGACCCCACTGAAGGCTACAACTGGGCTCCTTTGAGACTGCGCTCACTGCCACTGAGACCCACCTGAGGAGCTGGTGCCCCTGGGGCAGTGTCTGCAGCCAGGTCACACAGTGGCCCCCGTGGCCATCCAGGGTGGCAAGCGCCCTCCGCGTCTGCAGGCTCCAGATGTGCACCAGCCCACTCAGGGACCTGTTCCAACACACGTGAGTGCAGGCTCAGGAGGAGGCATCGAGGCAGCTGACCTGGCCCTGCACACTCTGCGGGCCGGCCTGGAACACAGCTGGCAGACAAGGCGCTTCGGCCACTAGGGTTTTTAGTTTAGGTGACAGATCTAAAGATGAACTAAGGCTACAGTGGCACGTGTTCCTCTTCCAAGGGGGTGGGCAGGGGCCTGTGGGAGCCTCTGAAGGCACCTCAGGCAGAGCCTGCTTCTCTGGAGAGGGAGGGCAGGCCGCCATTGACAGTGCAAACTGGATGGTGTCTCTAACGGAGAGGGGGCCAGGCCTAAGGGGACAGTGTGTCGAGTGGGCTCTGAGAGGGCAGGGTGCCTGGACAACAGGCAGCCCGAGCCCCTCACTAGGATCCCCAAACAAGCACCAGGCTCATTGCTAGGCCACCACCCCCCCAACTTCACCTTGGGCCACCCCTGGGGTTGGGTTGGGGGCCACAGCTACTCACCCTGAGAGGAGGAGTGGGCGCCCCTGCCCCTGGGCTCCTCCGCAGAAATGCAGCGCGTGCACCGCTGACCGGGTGCCTCGGAGGACAAACTGGGGGTCTGGCGGCGGCGGCAGGGCCGCCATGCTGGGCAGGGGTGCAGTCACCTCAGGACCCAAAGGGAGGGTGTGTGAGTGACCCAGCTGTCCTCTTTCTGAAAGACAGTAGGAGCCTCCCTTGATGCCACCCACCCCTTCTCCCCCTCTTCAATCTTGCCTATTGGCCTCTGCACCCAAGTGGTACAGAGGTCCCAATCTGTGCCATCCCCAGGCAGGCACGGCAGCGCCCACACCCTCCCGCGGCCACCCTTGCCCTCGGTGCCCAGCGCAGAGCCCTCCACTGGCCTCCAGTCCACCCCTAGCTGCACCCTCTGGCTCCCCAAATCCCACTGGCCACACCAGTGTCGTCCCACTCTGCCCAGGGCAGGGTCCTTCTCGCCTGGGCTGTGCACACGCCTGGAGTGCTCGTCCTCTCTCTGGGCCTGAATGAGTCCTGCCCTCTGTCCAGGCCTTGCTCCAGCTTCTCCCTCGGGGAGCCCTCCCCAACTAGCCCTCTCGGCAAATCCAAACACCCCTCCTTGAGCCCAGTCTCCTGTCTCCCCAGCAGTGTAGTAACAATGTGCCGGGACGTGCTGTCCACCTCTGCCTCACAGCAAGCTCCAGAGCAGGGCCCGTGCTGGCTGCTCTCACAGATGAGAGGCCCTTTCGCACACCACTGGTCCCGTGCTCAAGGCATGCTGGAGCCCACCCACCCCAAAGGAGAAACCTCCTAGTGTCCCCGCTGAGCGCCCCCCCACCATGCAACCCTGCAGGGTCCCCAGAAGGCCCATGCCTCCTCTCACACCACCTCAGTCCCACAGGCAGGCAGAGATGCGACGGTGCAGGGGTGGCTGCTCTCAGCAGGCAGGGGAGGCCCCAGACCAGAAGTGACCAATGTCAACAGCCGGGGGTACATCTGCCTGCCCACAGGCCTCGGGCAGGCTGAGGCTGCAGACGGAAAGGCCAGGCAGACTGCAGGCAGCTGGGCAGCTGTGTCAGGAGGGCCTCTCTTGCTGGGCTCTGGGACAGTTCCTGACACACCCACCTCCAGCCGGCACACAGAGCAGGGAGGAGGGCGCCCGCCCGACTGCTGTGGCAGCCACAGCCACCAGAGGAACTGGGGTAAGTACAAGAACACAGCAAAAAAGATGGGAAAAATTCCTCCAGGAGGGAGCCTTGACCAGGAGGCTGCTGCCGGGGGCTGGAGGGGGTTCCAGGCCGAGAGCAGAGGCCCACGCACGAGGGGCTGCAGCCAAGGCCAGGCACACACACAGGCAGGCGCACCGCTTCAGCCACACCCTCAAACGCAAGCCTTGTGCCTCCCATCCTTAAAGACATCCCAGGCCCTTTCCTTCTAGTCTCTCTATCTTCAGAAGAGAGCCAGGAGTGGCGTGACTGGAGCAAAAGGTTCAAAACACCTAAGGAATGCCACTGTTGAGGCAGCTGGGGGCCTTGCAAGCCCCCAAGGGGCTCCAGGTCACCAAGACAGCAGAGGGCGGGCAGCGACTGGAGAGCACGGGGGCCTGAGGAGGGGGATGGGGAAGACCAGGCTGCAGAGACCCGGTGGGAAGCTGCTGCCAGCACCCAGGCCAACTGAGGCCTGGCCCACATGAGGGTAGTGGATGCAGGGCTGGCTCCTAGATCCTAACGACCTTGAGCAGACACTGCAGGGCCAGGCCCAGGAACGGGGTCCCCAGTCTCTTACTCCAGGGCAGATGGTCACCTGTACTGCAAAGAGACCACAAGTGACCACTTGACCACTAGATCTTGCCTCTAGGTTTCAAACAGAAGGAGGGGGTCCCTGGGAACACGCTTTAAAATGGTCAAGTCTGTTTCTCTCTCTCTTACTTTTAGGGTTTTCAGCCTAACAGTCTCTCTCATCTTTGACTAAAAGCCAACTGACTCTTTGTAAACTTAAGGATGGGCTCCTGCAGGGGTCAGAGGGACCCCTCCACACTGCTCCATGACCCATGGCCCTCCTCTGGCGTGGGACAGGAAAGCCCCCTGGAGACCCTGCCGGGCCAGGGCCATTAACCTTGCAGTGGCAGCCTTGGGCAGGCTGGCTTGCGGACGAATTGAGAGGAGCAGCTCCTGGGCCCCCAGAAGCCACTGCCTGCCTGTGCAGTGCCTGTCCTGTAAGAAGAGCTGGTCAGTGATGGTACAGGGCTGCAGGGCCCCAGCTTCAGGAGATCCAATAACGCAGACCCCGCTAAAGCACCTCAACCCAGCCTCAAAGCCCCACTCCAGGGTAGGAGGCACCCCAACACTCAGTCCAGGCCGCCTCTGCACAGGCTCCCACTGTGCAGTCCTGACATGCACACACATACCGCATTCACGTGCACAGGGCACACACTCACGTGTGTTCACACACACACACACACACACACACACACACACACACTTAGGGGCACACACACACAGGCAGGACGGTGGCCTTGGGGAATGCCAGCCGAAGCCCAGCCCACACTTGCCACCTGCCTGCGGCCTGATGGGAGTTTCCAGAACCTGAGCAGCACAAGGCTCACTCTGAGTTGATGAAACCAAGTTCTCCTCTATTGTTTGCCCAGAACTGCTGGGAACAAACCCGTCACGTTGTTACGACAACCAAAATGCTCAGGCCAAGATGATGCATCGCCAATTAAGGGCTCCATCATTGCAAGCAATCAAAATAAACCCTTTGTTTGAAAACTAATTAATTCTAGCTACATATTTTTCCCATGACAATATCCCATGATTACTTGATTTATGACACCTAATTATTCTTTATTAATCTAATTGAGAATAATCGCATTATCCTATCTCCCCTGGCAGCGGGCCGCCTGGAGCGGAGGCCACAGCCCCTTGTGCAAGGCCGATGCGCAGTATCAGCCTCCCGCCGCTGCCTGGCTTCCTTGTCCTATTACTTGTTCCCTCCCAGAGGGCAAAGGAACATGAAACTTAATCCATAGAGCACAACTTCGTAATCTGCCTGCACTTCGAGATGTCAAAGCCAGACACACTCTTTTTTGTGTGTGTGTGTGAGGAAGATCAGCCCTGAGCTAACATCCATGCTAATCCTCCTCTTTTTGCTGAGGAAGACCGGCTCTGAGCTAACATCTATTGCCAATCCTCCTCCTTTTTCCCCCCAAAGCCCCAGTAGGTAGTTGTATGTCATAGTTGCACGTCCTGCTAGTTGCTGTACGTGGGAGGCGGCCTCAGCATGGCCGGAGAAGCGGTGCGTCGGTGCACACCCGGGATCCGAACCCCAGGCCACCAGTAGCGGAGCGCCCGCACCTAACCGCTAAGCCACAGGGCCGGCCCCAGACACACTCTTTTCAAAATTAAAAAGAAAGACAATCTGACACAATTTGAGCAACTCTGACAGCCTCTCTAACTCGGTGCTGCAGATGCCCCAAAAACCCCGCAGGCCCTCAGCCCACAGACGGACGACAGTGTTGCCCTGCATCACGTCTCCACAGCAGCAGCCCGGCAGGCCTCAGGGTTGTCCCCACAGAGAGGGGACCCGAGCCTACCCCAGGCCTGGGAGCAGCGGGCAGCCAGGGCCGCCGGTGGCAAGGCACACAGGTGGCCAGGGCCAGGCTGCAGCTGGCACTCACCCTCCCACCATGGCACACAGACCTCGGGCAGGCGCAGCAGCACAGGGATCTGAGGATGCCCCTCCCTGGGAGGCAGCAGTGTGTATCAAAGCACCAGGTGTGGGCAGAGACCTGCCACAGCGCACGGGACCTGCCACAGCAGCACAGACGGAACCACGCAATTCGAGCGGCACAGGAGGCAGGGCCAGGGGAGGGGCTGGTCTTGGGCTGCACATCCCACAGGCTGACCCCTCAACAGGTTGCAGGCCAGCCCAGGGCACTTGCCCTGACCTTAGTCACGGAGCCCTTTCCTTTCACTGCACCAGGACCACTGGGCCCTGAAGGAGCTTGGAACTCAACAAAGAGCATCAGAAGCTAGCCAAAGCAGGGGAGCCAAAGCACCCAGAGACGCCGGGCACTCCCCAGCCCACCGGGTCCTGCCTCACTGACCGTGCAGATGAGAGGGCAAGGATGGGCTGCACAGGGTGCGGGGAGCGCCTCAAACAAGACCCCAGCCCCCGCACATGCCAGACGAGGGCACAGAACCAGCTCCCGCTGCCCGATGAGGCACCTGAGCACCCATAACCAGCACAGACAGGAAGGTGCTACTTTTCAGCAGGACGGATGCCCTGATTGACCCTACCCCCCAAACCAACTAAAAATGCTGATAAAACTAGAAACTACCAAAATCTTCACTATACCACTAAGGTGGAAAAAAAAAAGTCTGGAACCTTCAGAGGCCAAACACTAAGTAAAAGTGAAACGTTGTGAGGTCTGCGGAGCCGCAGCTGGCTCTGGCCCTGAGGGCATCTGCTCCAGCGACCTGGAGTTCAGGCTCTCAAGGCCTCTGGGGGATGAAAGAAAAGCTTAGGGCCCTCCTGAGGCGGGTAATCTCCTGGGAGCACCCCATAAGGATAAGACCCCACAGGGCTACATGCTCAGTGTTAGACTGAACTAGAACTAAACCTGCACCCAGACGTGCCAAAATAATGCCAGCTCTCGAGTTAGCCCTAATTCCCACCTCCTTGGGAGCTCCCCAAAACTTCAGTCTGTGAACATCTCCTCAGCAAGAGCCCACCTTCCAGGCAGGCCTCAATGAATTCACAGATAAAACCCTACCAAATGCAGGCTCGTAGCCAAAACTCATAACAACAAACAAGGAAATAAGACACCAGGAGGGAGAGCCATCACAAACAATAGGAAGCAGACGCAAGGAGGAGACAGCCATCTGCACACCAGGAACCAGTTCTCACCAGACACCAGATCTGCTGGTGCCTGGATCTTGGACTTCCGGCCTCCAGAACTGTGAGAAATAAATGTCTGTTGTTCAAAAAAGAAAGAAACAAAAGGAAGCAGAACTAGACCCCCAGAGCAAGGCATCCAGGTATATAAAATAAGGATGCTTAATGGTTCTAAAGAAATTAACAGAGGGAGCCGAAACTACAAGTAGAGAGTGAGAGACTATAAAAGTCACCACTCAGATCTAGAAAAGGG